GTGGGACAGGGTTCCCAGGAGTGCCGCGAGTCACCTGCTTGTTGCCCATATGAGTGGTGCCATGTTGGCGGGAGAGGATATCCACGCCAATTGCCAGAAGGCGTTGGGGACCCTGACGGGTACTCTCGTTGGGTATCTCCACCAGGGGCCTTTGCAGGAGGGCGCTGAGCTTTGGGCTCCTTAACCCCAATCGGGGGAGCCACCTGACTTAAGGCTCGCAGCAAATCCACTAAAGGGAGGCTCACTCGGATCGAGAGTTCGATTAAGGGCTGCTTCTCATGGTTGTAGATAAGAGCGCATCGAAAGGGGCCTGCAAGAACAGGCAGGGCCATCTAGAGAGTGGCCTCGGCAGTAGCCTAAGACAGCACTGTACCTACCTGCATTCGAGCCAAGAATTCGCAAGACGGGTAGGAATCCAAAATTGGTGAGATTTACACCCACTGGGTAGCTTCGTCCATGGCCTCTTCAAGTTCCAACATTTCATAATAAATAGTGTGGCATGCACGCACTGCATTTTGAGCCGACTCCTCACTCCTTTCCTCTGCACACAGCAGCTTCTGTGCGTGTCCAGCCTGCCTCACAGCTTGTCTGCTTTGCTGATCTCAGACTCTACTCTACTGATCTCAGACTTGGCTTGCTGATCTCAGACAGAGCTGATCTCAGACTTGCTTTGCTGATCTCAGACTCCGCTGATCTCAGACTTGGCTTGCTGATCTGTTTTCGGACTTTGCCTTTTTTCGGACTGAGCTTTGGCTTTGGCTCGCTCTTTGACTTTGGTTTCCTCTCTTTCTTGGGCTTGGCAGTTAAAAGCGGCAGGAAATGGCCCGCCACATCAGGAAGATCAAGCAGATCACCGGGCGATAGGGGTGGAGGCCAAGAGTTCAGCCTGCCCCACTTCTCAATCATCTGAAGCACCGGCACGCCGCAAGCCGCAACCAATGGCACTGGGTAGGCGTTGCCCAGTGCGTGCAACAAGTCACTGTTGCAAAGATGCAGCGCCAAGCGCAGGTGTACTCCTTGCAAAGCACATCGTTCCTGCGGAAGAATCCATCTGAAGTAAGCCCTCTCTGCATCTGGCAGCTGCAAGTCATCGGTGCTAATGACAAAAAGATACTTCAACTGTGTCTTCAAGCAGCAACTCATACCAACTGTCATGGATGGCGAGTACTTCTTGCCAAAGGCTCTGTCCAGCTCACATACGACCAAGGTGCCCGGAGTCACATCACCGGCTTCGATCTTGTCTCGGATTAACTCTCATAGTTGCCCAAGTTGCTCCTCATGATTGAGGTCAGGCTCTCACGAGCTGTGCATGGGAGGTTGGGCTTCAAGAAAGAGGCCAAGGACACCGTCCCAAACGGATCCATAGGTCGAGGAGGCTTCTCCATGGTGCCGAGGATCTCCTTTCCTGGATTGTGACCGAAGTCTGTTCTCAAGTTGTCAATGACAAGACAATATACATATAGAAGGACTTCCATGGAAACCTCATGAAACCTGCCACAGCACAAACAAAATCTAGGTTGGATTATAACAGAGCTTCGAACACCCTGCAAAAAGACCCGTCGTCTCGACTGAGGCAGTTTGTAGTCTGCAGCATTCAAAAGATCCACCCGCCATGCCATCTCCGGAGCATGCTCCTCGAGGAACCTGATGGCAATGGCCATAAACGGCTCTGCACAGCCAGCGATCTTGTGAAGCACTCCTTGAACATTTTCAAAAAGCGCCCAAAGCAGTCCACCGTGCCTAGTGAGATAGATTGTCCACAAGAGCACTGCAAGAAACACCCTCGTTCGGACATCTTCCCCTGGACACTTCTTGCCGTTGCTGGCCCAAGGAGGACAAGGCGGGCCGGCCATCAAGACATCCACAGGCACGGTAAGATCTTCCAGCTTGATCTGGGTAATGTCACCACTCTCTCCCAATTTGATGCCTTCCAGGCTACCCTCCAAAGCTATCAGCGCATCGGACAGGTTAGACAAAATATCACAGCTGTTGGTCAACTTGTAGCGGACACCCACCTCCTGCAGAAAGCGACCACCATTGTTGATCCCAACGCATGGGGCACACACTATCAACGGTCGGCCAAGCTCGCAGCGACCCAACCCTTCCATCCATTCACATGGCACATGGAGACCTTCAAGGTCACTAGGAGCAAATCTTGTCCTAGCTGAGAACATCGTCACCACAGTGATCTCAGACAGAGCTGATCTCAAACAGAGCTGATCTCAGAGAGGAAAAGCTACGCTATGAGAGCAATTCAAACTGTCATGCTTGAAGGCAATCCAAAAGGCACTGTTCAGCGCAATGCAAAAACACAGCATTGTACTCTCACTTAGTGAAGGTACTTCGGCCAGTGAGGCAGCAAATCTGAACCTCACTGATCTCCACCACGCTGATCTCAGACTCGTCTGATCTCAGCCTTGGCAGGGGGATCCCAAACAACGATCTAACACTCTAAAAAGCGTACAGGTCATTTCCAATTGAGCTCATGTCAATCGGACCTGATTTGAACACATGAGCGCTGATCATCAGTCCGCCGGTCTTGATCATCCTTCTGGCACTGCGTTCTGCTCTGCATTCACCTCTTCTCGGGCAGCCTGGTTGGATTTGGCTTTCTCGCGTTCTCTCAGCAGCCAGTGCAAATCCTCATCTTCCATCAAGTTTGCAGCACGCATGATTCTCCGCTTCTTCTGTAGCTGCAGCTTCAGGTTTCGACTCATTTCTTTCAGATCCTGTTTGAGCTTTTGTCGTTGGGTCTTTAGCAAGTCGACATCCTGAAGTACCACTTTCCCTCGTCTACGACGCGGTTTTGGCACTGCTGCAGGAGAAGCCATGGACCGTAGGTCAACGAATCGTGGATGCAAGAATGGGACCCTGAAATGGCTGTGAAATCTGAGGACCAATTCTGTTCCCCCAGCAGTACGGCACAGCTTGAAGCCTGATGAGGCAAAGCCTCAATTACAAGGTGTGTAGAAGTGGAAAGAGAATCCACTATGCCGAAAGCTGCCCTTACTTTAGAAGGGCGGAGGCAGTTGAGCTTTGTAGCGTATGCATGGGCGAAGGGGCCGTGACAGAATGCACAGCATCGGGTCACCCATGCATAACACGCACAAATTAAGAAATGCGCCAACCGATGTACAGGCACAGGCCTGTGCGTGAAAACACGTTTTCCGCTTCGCAGAATTGCAATGGAGTACCTGGCCTTTTGCACTTGGCTTTGGCTCAAGGTGCGCGTGAAAGCTTGTGAGCTGTTGCGCGTGCTTTTCGTGTAAGACGTTAGTGAACCGACAAGACAAGGAAGAAGGTCCAGGTCAACGTTTGGTCGCAAGGAAAGCAAAGGCAACGCAAGGGGAGGTGATAGCATTTTGCCTTCAGGCCACAACCAATGAGGGTTTTGTCACCAGACCAGAGACGCCTGGAACACTGGAGACAGCAACAGTTCTTTGAAACAGTGTGACCCTACCATGCACCAACAAGATTAGACTTTACTACAGTGGTTCTGACAGTCGTGGCCAGTGGGCATCTTCTGCGGTCTGGTTCAACATGGCAATGAAGCTTTTCTGGTTGTCCGGGATCAGGGGATGCGGAGCTGCAGACGGTGTCTGGTGTGTTGAGCTCAGAACCGGTGTTTCTCTTTTTTTCGGGTTTTTCCGGACATTTTTTTTTTGGCTTTTGCCTTTTGCTTCTTGTTTTGCTTTTTGCTTCTGCTTCTGCTTTTGTTTTTTGCTTTTGCTTTTGCTTTAATGTTTGCTTCTGCTTTTGCGTCTGCTTTTGCTTTTTGCTTCTGCCTTTGCTTCGATTTTTCTTGCTGCTTTTGCAGTTGCTTTTGCTTCTGCTTTTGTAATTGCAAATAGGCAGCTTGAAGCGTTGCAAGTGCTGCTGCAAGTGGCCGGTATTGTTTACTGCGTTGCTTGCAGCAAAGAGCCTGTGTTGGTGCATTACTTGTGTGACCTTTTGTGAGCTTCTGTACTTGGATAAAAATTAGAGGAAGGGGCCATTTCAGCGCATGCCTGTTGTAAGGCACTCGAGGGTAACATCTGGAGGAGGAAGGTGCCATTCCAATGGTGCATACCTTTTGCGAGCCACCAGAGAGTGAAATTTAGAGGAGGAAGGTTCCAGTCCAACAGCGCATACCTTTTCTGAACCACCCGAGGGCCCGAGAGCAGGGCGAAAGGTGCTATGCCAACGCTTACCTTTTGTGAGCCATTCGAGGGTAATATTTATATGAGGAAGGTGCCATTCCAACGGTGCATGCCTTTTGTTAACAAGACGAGGGTAGAATTTAGAGGAGGAAAGCCAAAGAACTCCTAAAAGACTCGAAGCCGGCAGACAACCGCAACAAAGTCCCTATTATTATAGTTCCTCTCTCCACTTTCCTCACTGCTCTTTCTCCTTCGTTTTTCTTTCTCTTTGTGTTTATCTTTATCTTTATATTTCGTTTGCGCTTCCTCTTTCTCTTTCTCTGTGTCTCTCTCTGTGTCTCTCTGTGTTCTCTCTCTCTCTCTCTCCTGTCTCTCTCTCTATCTCTCTCTCGCTCTGTGTCTCTCTCTCTCTCTTCCCGGTAAATATATTAGTTTTCAAAAAAAATTATATATTTTTTTAATATTATATACAAAGCCGAAGAACGCTTAACAGACGTACCCAAAGAAACGCTAAAGCCGAACCCAAAAAATTCCCAGAGCCACTGAAACCCAAAGACAGCCGCAAAGAAATCCCTAATTATATTTCCTCCCTCCTCTTGCCTCACTCCTACTTCTCCTTCGTCAAGTGGGATGCCTTTCTGCTCCCTCCCTTTGTCACTGTCTCGCTCTCTCCCTCCCGCTGGCTCTGCTGCTTCGTCCCCTGACATTTCTGCTGCTCCTGATGCTTGTAAAGCACTCCCAGAAAAAACGCAAAAACATACCAGAAAAACCACGAAAACAATTCCCGGAACAAATCTCCATCCGTGGGTGGGTCGCCCCCCTTCCCCATCTCTCTAATTCTCCGTCCACAAAACTTCGTGGATGCTTCTCAACCTGTCTCTAACATGCCTTGCCACGGCAAGAAGAACCAGCAGGCCAAGGCAAGTGTGTGTGGCAAACTTTTTGTCATGGGTGTTTTCGACGGCGCTCGGGTCTTTTTGGCTCTGGATTCAGGGTATAGAACTTTTCCTCCAGACTTCTTCCTCTGCTCTTTTGAGTGCAACGCGCTCTTGGGTGAGAGGGGAAGCGAGAGCAAGATTTTCGTGGTCCACCATGGAGGATTTGAATGCGCCAGTGCCGCGTGAGCGACCCGAGCGATTGGACAATCTGGTAGCCCCCGGGCATGAAAAGCACTGGGTAAATGTTGGTTATAAAGTGTGGTGCTTTGGAGTAGGGGTGTTGGCCGTACTATCTGAAGAGGTCTAAATGGTGGTCCTGATCGTCCTTCCGACCCGAACAAGATGGGACCTGAACAAATGATCGTCCTTCCCGACCTATGTTTTCAACTGCTATGACCATGGACTCGACGTCTGCGAAACGACGGGATCACCACACCGGTGACCGGACGACCGGTCGACCGGTGCGGTGCTCGACCGTTAGAAGACTGAGAGCAAAAGGTCGGAGTCTTGCCCTGGTGAACCCGAGGCGAGTTGTGTCCTATTTGGTTTGGGCTGGTGAACACCTGGTCCGGACGAAAAACGACGGCCATTGAATGTGCTCGGAACCCCCTGCGGGTACCCAAAAAGGACCTGGTGGCTCAGATGGAGCTGATGCGACCTGAAGCTTTGCGCGTCACCTTGGCCGTCCAGGCACTCCAGGGCTGCGGGAGGGTCTTTCGACCACGGCTGCAGCAGGATCCCTTTGAGAAGAGTTTTGTAACTGAGTTGCACACGGGATGGCTTCCTGTTTCAGCTGAAATTGTGTGACAAATTCCACCCTTGGGTTGCTGATTCCCGTATCATTTTCAATTTCAACCCCCCACGTGGCCCCTTGGTCTTCACCAACACCTCCCAACACGCGACAAGGTGAGTGAGAAAGTCTCCTGTTTTTGGTCTCACTCCTGGCATGGTGGGCAGTACAAGAAGGTCGCGACGCTGCTGACACTCTACAATGGCCTCCCGGCGATTCTTTGTGGTCTCCTGGCTGCTCTGGTGATGATGGTGCTCTTCACCTTCGGATCTCTTCCAGGATTCCAGAGAGTTCCTGATTCTCCGAGTGATCATTCGGCGTGGCACTTTGGAGAAGCAACCAATTTTTCTGTGAACACTTGCCTACTTGCCTTTGATCATCAGGTGACTCATGTTCACACCGGCGACTCTAAAGACTTTCAGTGAGTGGAACTGGTTTCCGGAGAAGAACAACTAGCAGAAGCGGAGCCCGCATTCGCTACGTTAGAGATAGATAGGTTTACCTACACGAGCCTTTGCAAGCTCCAGATATAGGGAACTTTGATAGATACCAAGTTCGTGAGCATTCTTCTCCTCGCAACCCACACCTAGGTCACTTGGCATGGGCTTCTTAGTCACCGCAATTGCCTTTGTTTTTTGGCGGCCGCAGCAGCATGTTTTCCTGGACCGGATTTGCATCACCGAAAGTGATCCGGAACTTAAGGCAGAGCAAATCCTAAGCCTTGCTGGGATGCTGAAGCGCTCCCGGGAGATGTTGGTACTTTGGGACTCAAGTTGGAGTGATCGCCTTTGGTGTTTGTTCGAACTGAGCGCCTTCCTAAAGAGCAAAGCTGATAGTGAGCATTCCCGGTTGCTGGTAACCCCAACCTTTATGGGGCCGTGTGTCGTGGCGACCTTCATAGGCAACCTCGTGGCCGTGGTCCCGATGACGTTTTTTCCACTCAGTGTGTCCGATGATACTGCCGATCTCATTCCCATGGTGTTTGTGTGCGTCTTTGGAGCTGTTGGTGCTTTATGCTGTGCCCACGCCTTTCGGTCCTACTTTCAATCCGTGGATGACCTGAAGGAGAAGTTGCAGAGCGTCAGCTTGGAAAAGACCAGAAGTTTCTGCTGCGAAGTGAACCACGAGGGCGACCTCATGTGTGATCGTGAAATCGTTCAGGACTGCATCACCACTTGGTTCGGCAGCCAGGAGGCCTTCGAAGACTCCGTGCGGTCCGAGGTCCTTCAGACTCTCGTGTTTGAGCTGGAGTGGTCGGTCTTCACCCGACCATGGCGGATCGCAGTCGCATGGTGGGGTGTTTAGAGGTGTGTAAGGGTGGAGAGGCTGGAGTTTGAGTTTGGAGGTTGAAGTTTCGCTTTGATCATCCAATTGAATCCAAGGTCAGCATCCCCTTCTTGTGGGCTAGCATGGACCTCGCAGCCAGCGATGCCAAGACGCAGCAGTGGCTTGTTGCCATCAACTGGCTTCTCAGTGGCCTGACGATATGGTTGTTGGCCTGTCCGCTCAATATCGATCCTCAACTCAATCTGGCCACGGGTCAATAATTTGTAGCTCCAACTGATGAACAGTGACATGAACAGTGCAGGAGGGCACTCAAACCCTTCAAAACTCACCTGTGGGGTCCCCTTGGGCAGAAGGACCTGCGTCCCATTTTTGGGTGTGCTTTGCTTCCACATGACTTCAGCTCGATCGGGTTCCCCCTGAGGAGAACCTGGCCAACCTCGCCCATCGCTTCCGCGCGCGGCAGCCCACGGCTGGCCGTGAAGCACTGATGGATGTGCTGGTGCTCCTGCTGGCTTCTTGGACCAACGAGATCGACCTGGCTGTAGGCCGTTTTTTTCGAAAGGTCCAAGTGATCGAGATCTCGCCCCAGTGGGCGTTTCATATAGAGGCCAACAAGCAGCACTGGAGCTCGAAACCCTCGGAACATCAGGAGTCCTTGGAACATCTTCGTTGGTCCAACACACCTTGGACTTGGACCAAAACACCTTGGACTTGGACCAAACAGACACGGTCAAGTTCATTCAGTCCAGACTTGTATTTTCTACTTCTGACCGCATGTCTGTCACTATGAAGGCCGACGTAGTGAATCGACAGGTAGCTGGCAGCAGATCAGATCCCCATTTGCACAAGGCATCTACAGCAGTTGCTACAGGGCCCGGTGCTGCGGTTCCAAGTGAGACAACTTGATTTCAGACATGGCCATTTTCTTCAGGCAAAATGAGCAGTAGTGACGGTTTTTGGGTGCGGGTAGACCCTCTATATAGAGGCACCTTCTGCAAAGGTCTTTGGACCTCTCGCCTTTCGATCGAAGTGATTGTTCTGCGTTTGCCAAGGCCTTGCCACTCTTCTTGTTCGGCGTTGCTCTGGCCTTCTTAACTGGCTTCTTCTTGCCCGAGTCGCAGCCTCCGCTGCTCCAGGCAACCTTCTGGGGCTTGCTGGAGCTGGCAGTGTTGCTGAAGCGCACGAGGTGTTCTTCATCGAAAGCACCGGAGCCAAGCATGGGGCACCTATTCTGACCACAAACGAGGCTGCTGAGAGATCACGAATAGTTGAATAGTTGGCGGCCCAAATGCGGCCGACTCTGCCTTGAGGCCAATTGCGAAGTGTCCTCAGTTGGAGGACGCATGCTTTAACTTTTACACGTCAATGGTTTTAACGCTCATCGGGAATCCATTTCATGCAGTCAGAACCTGTTGAGAAAAAAGGCGGCGCTCAGTTTTCTATCCATCTTACTGTATCTTTCTGGATTGGCCTTTGTGAGTGTCCAGACTCTTTTTCTTGAGAGTGTGTAAGCGCAGGGTTCTTGGGGTAGTTGGATCACATCTTAAATTCACATCTTACATCATCTTACATCTATGTGCATTTATGTGCATCTTCTCTCTTCTTTCACCTTCACATCTTCTCTTCTTTTCCTTCTCTTCTTTGCAACGGCGAGGGAGACCTCCCGCACGGGAGACCCCGGTTCCGAGAACCTGGACTGGAGCATCGGCCAAAAGCTTCCAACTCGTGGAACATGAAGGTGTGTTGCATCCTGACATTGAACGTGAAGGTGCGTGCCAGCAAAGTGTGAAACTGTTGTCGAGAATTGAGGTTGAGATGTCCAATGTGCACAACTGTCGTTGAAGCTGATGGCTGAGACTTTCTCCAGGGTGAGAGGCTCTCTGGCTGAGAGCCGCCAACTTTGAGGCAAAACATTGAATTAATGTGGAGCATGTGGGGATTATGTAGTATGGCTCAGAACTGGCAAGTTTGAAGTGTAAATGTAATGCCGGGAGTAGCTTCCAGCTTCAGGCTGAGAACTGGCCAGTTTGCAGGGCGCACGCGCTGCGGGGACGATCTGTGTAGTGCGCTGCGGGTTGTGCGTGGAAGTAGTTTCGGACAGTTCCCGCTCAGAACTTGCAACTGGGTGTTAACACAACCCATGGGTTGTCCTCTGTGCCTGCAAACACTTAGTGGCCTTTATGCGTAACACCAACTCCAATTTTTGATGGCTGGAGAACGCAGTTGAAGGCACTGCAGTCATGACCTGTGTAGAGATTCGCGACTGGAGCAAAACCAATAGGCTCTTTTGGTGCGTGCTGCTGGTTCTGCCAGACAGCATTGTGTTTCTGTGAGCCGCCGGCTGCGCATGCTGCTGGTGGTGGTGTTTGTGTGCAAAAAACCCTCGACAGGTTTTAGGCTGTTGCACTCTTTTTCGACCTTGGTTTAGGAATACCCAAAATGTTTTTTTTGAAGAATAGATCTTGATCTCAATGATGTTTGTTTTGGGTTTCCCGGCAACAGTTTTGGAATCCTGATAATTGATAAATAATAGTAGTTTTTTTTTGATCCTTTTGCAATTTTTCAGGGAAGACGCGTGCTTGCGTGTTGCCACAGTCATGTCATGGCAGTTCATGGGTCATTTCCCGTGCGTCCATTCATCCAGCGGTGGACTGGAGTGAAGTTTCTCACCAGCCCGGGCCCCCAGAAACGCGCTGAGTGGCTCGTTGAAATGCAAGGACAGGAAGGTCTTCAATCCATAGGACAGATCCCCGGTTTGTCTTTTTGCAGGAATGGTGTGTGTTTTTATTCGTGGGAGTTTCAGCGTATAGATCTTTCATGGAAAGCGGACGAAGGATATTGTATGATGATGATCGAAACTGTGGGTGACACATGCCTTTCACCAAAATCATCCGAAACCCTGGATCAGGTCGCATCTGCGCTTGCTCCCTACGATCTACACCGAAATTTACACATCTGAGTGGGTGAAGAGCCGCGCTTCCCCACTTGCACCGCTTCACTGTCACAGATTCCAATGAAATCGAAAGAGATTTGTCCAAATCTATCGTTGGAAACTACATCAAAGAACGTTTGCAGGCTGAATTTGTATATATATATATATCACAATTTGTAGGTGGTTTGCCTGTTGTTTCTCTGCGTTTCTGTGACAGTGTTGCGAGTGCTCGATCTGATGTACCGGCGCCGCGTTCTGGGAACTCCGCTGAAGGAGGACGTGTGGAGGGTCTACCGGGTAAGTACCAAGGCCCCCTGGTAAATGGACACCCCTACCCTAAACCTCGTTGACGGTTCTAACGGACTATTTATAAACACCCCAAAACGGGGGCCGTGGTATATAATAGTGCAAAGGGGTGGCATGGAGGGTGGCTTGGAGAATGCTTGGAGACATGTCTTTTTGTGACCCACCTCCAGCCAGGCCCCCCCAAGCGTCTCGTGCCTTCTGATCGTACCTCCGTACCTCCATATCGCGCAGGATCCCGATGCATTGCCGGCGTTGAAGGCCTGTCACCCGGAGAAAGGAATACATCCCGCATGATCCCATCGACTCTCCTTAGGGTTTTGTTGGATCATCATGTGGTCACCATCCTGCTGCATCAACACGTTGTCTTCTTGGCTTTGTATCCGTTTGCTTTGTGGATGTATCAGCTGCCATATCAATTGAAGTGAGGTTTCTGGAGGCGTCACCACATCAATCAGAGTGATCAGCCCCTCTTTTCGCGAACCAGTTTTCCAGACCGCCTTTGAGGCCTGTGAAAGCAGCCCGTTAGCCAACGTGCAGGGATGCTTTGGAGGATCCGTCGGTTCTTTTTTGCACCGAGAATTCTGCGTGAGGTAGGAGAGATGTCTCAACCTTCCATGCAGAAAACGGTGCTTCATCTGATTCTGCACGTGATGCGGCCAGTCGTGGTTGTTCCTTTGAAATTCGAAGATCCCGTTAAAGGTTGGTGCTGTTTGGGACATGGAGATCCCCCCAAAATGGCACCTCTTAAAGTCATCCGCTTGGCCTGGGAGATCCCATTTTTTCACAAGTGAAGGAAGGCTGAGGTGAAACCAGGCGGACATGAAAAGCGCCCAACGACTTCGACGAATGGTGTTTCATCACCCCCACCCAGGTCGACCACTCACGTCGACCACTTCTGCTTTCTCGTTTCGAAGTTCGATGTTCGAGACCATCCGCCGCCTCCGAAACGCCTCGATGGAAAGACGCCGCGCCTCCACCTGGCCGAAGGATCTCCTTGCAGCACCTCCCGAAGATGGCGCACTGAGCCGTAGACTCGGATGGAGACTTCCCCATAGACTCGGAGGGAGGGCGTTTGCCGGGCCGGTCTAGGATTTGGGGGTGAGCGCTTCATGAAAGGGATTCTTTTTGGGGGGTTGGGGGGATGGTTGATGCTGTTCTTTGTTGAGCTAAACTTTGGACTGGATACCTTTCTTCTTCGATCTTCTTTTAACGTCCGGTGCCCCCCACCAGAATTGCTTAGCTTGCGCGATCTCGAAGTGATTTCTTGAAGAAACGCTAGGTTCGGAAAGTTGGGGCTGACCGCGACCGTTGACCGCGACGTCGACCCCCGAGGTGCAAAATGGATGTGCAAAGTCGCAACCTCGGACGTGCAACGGAAGCCACGTGTGAAATTCTGGTCGACAGAAGCATCGCATCTTCAGACACATGGTCCTTTGGAGCAGGGCGGATCAGGGTCAAAAAGGATCGAAAGGTCTGTGCCCAGATATGAGAAAGCCATGACTTTAGTGGATCAGACCGAATATTTCGGATCAGAATCAAGCAGTTTCCTGGCCTGGCAACAAGAACATGTAACATATGTTTTTCCCTGTATGGAAGACGCTGTTTTTCCAGTCACCATACATCCTAGAACCCATGTGATCCCGGACAAGACATGATTTTGTGTGGTGGGTCTTGACCTCGAAGCCACTCAAGGTCTACAATCGACCTACATGACGTCGTCTTCGGTCAGCCGAATGTGGTTTCCTTCTTCGCCAGGTCCGAAGAAGGAGCGAAGGCGGCAGCGCCAGATGCTACAGATGCTTCACCGAAGCATGGCGCAAGCTGGAGAACCGGGTCGATTTCTCGACCTTTTTTCCGATGAATGACTCGATGGACGGATTCAGTCAATTCATTTCATTTTTTGCGAGAACATCATGCATCACGTTTGCAATCTCCTTCGTTTGGGCCAGCTTTGCTCTATCTCAGCGCTTCGTCGCCTGTCTTCCGTTCGGCTTTTTCCCCACGACTGGGTCGTGGCCGGGGTGGCGGCTGGGGAGGACTTGTGGCGGTCTCTGTCTCCGCTTCGGCTCTTCAAAGACGTATGGATTCCTTCGCAAAGTTGGACGAGGTTGGGTGTTTGGACGAGGGCTGGAAGTGCCTGGAGGTGGTTTTCAGTGGAGTTTTAGTTTTTGTTTTCAATGTCTTCGACGTGACCAACAACACCTTCTGTAGACTCTCAACTTGGCCGAAAAATCACTCAGGGAAGCCAAGCTTGGTCTTAGACCTGGTCTTTTTCTATGTGTCGCTTTTAGGGACCAAGATCTCCGAGCTAGATCCGCATGCTCGATCGCAGCTCGCTGCTTGAGGTGTCCAAATTCAAGAGTCGAAAGGTTGGAGCTGCTTCACACTCAGGCGATGCGATGCGTGATGGTTCCTGTGTTAACCGTATTACTTGGGCAATGGCATGGCCTGGGGAGATGTAGATCTGTTGATGGGTTTTCAGATCATAGAGCCCCAAAAACAGAACTCGTACTCGTCACTTCTTTGAGTCAAGTCTAGATCCTGATCCCTCTGTGAAAGGAGACCACATTAGTGACCCGAAAAGAAAAGGAAGAACACACACCGAGAGCTCGGCCCCGCTTGGCCTTGGCCTGGACCGACCGGACCGGAGGATCCTCTCCTCTGGACGCTGTCAGGCGAGTGGGACGGGGTTCTTCTTTAGAACGTTTTGGGAACATTTATGATGTATGATGATATTACTATCACTATAATTACTATTTTTACTATTATTACTATTACAATCTTATATGTATTCATTTATTACTATTATTATTTGTATTTTGCTGTTGAAGAGATTGAACAGGCCCATCCATGCGATATTTTCTTCGTCTTTGTATGGTAACACTCCCAGCTTTGACATCTTCTCCGTACGATGGACCTTTGCAAAGCTGTTGACGGGCGTGTTTGTCTCGTGGGCTCCGCATTGGTAGCGGAGCAAAAGGAACTTGGGCTCTCTGTTTTCATTCGTAGTAGCAAACAGCTACTAGGTGGAAGCCATCGCTATTAGGTTGGAGGCCATCGCTAGTAGTAACAAGAAGCACTATAGGAACATTTTTTTTCCTTTTCCCCCAACTGCCGTGCAGAAGCTCTTTGGCATTTGGCACCCCGCAGAGACACCTCGAATCGTGTCACGCCCACAGCGTATTTGATGGAATTGGATGACAGATGTGCAGATTTGCTTGCTTCAAGTAGAGTTGAAAGCCCTTATGTGGACTGTTGATCTACAAAACCCGCGGACATGAATTGTACAACCTCTTCAGGCTCTTCAGATGTCATCCAGCCTCCAATCTTCGCGCCAGGTTTCTCTTCGGCATCTTCCGCTGGGACACTCGTGTGATTCGTTCCGCGTTGGCTGTCCCAACAGGCAACAGCCAGATGTCCGATTTCGCCACGTGCCCATCACGGGCTGTTAAGGCTCTTACTTGGTCTATTGCCTGGCACTGGTGTCCGTCTCCATCCGCCAATTGCAGGAGGTGCGGCTGATATTTTGTTCAGCCGTTCGGCTGGGGATGCACAATACGGCAAGTAGACCGTATGGTCAAAAGGCAGTATATATATATATACCCTGGGAGTCAAAGACTATAAAAAGAATGGTCTTTAGGGGACCTGAAAGGGAACTTCCTTTACTTCAGCCGGTCAAAATATAGTCTTTGGACTTCTAGGGTATATATAACGGTAAATATATATATGCTAGAAGCGCATTTGCCGCAAAGCTTTAGGGTGCATCATTTGCTTGCAAAGCTTGTCGGTGCATAAATACGAACAGTGGAGTTATAGCGAGGGGCTTGTTGTGAGTTGCAGAACATAAGTCATTGTAAGACACAACAAGTCTTTCTGTAGTTGTATCAGGGGGACTTTCTCTAACTTTCTACCCCTTGCCTACGATCCGTCTCCTCTCCACTGCAAGTCGTCCAGAAAGAACCAAGAACACTTGTAAATGTTGAGGGTGAAAAGGAGATTCACCCAGCGCAAGAGGATTGGTTTCAGGCAGACGGCGTGAATATAGTTTCAGTCTTAGTTGATAGCATTAATAGACAATCAAGAGCTTAGCAGATGTCCACTTCTCAATAGACTCACTTTGTACAGAAGTTTGGAGGATGCCCAGATCCCTTCTTCCAAAAACACCTCACACACACACAACACTGGGTACCGTTTTGGTGCTGTTGGGTCGAAACCCCTCCGGACTCCGGACGTTTTCTGGAGTTGCTCCCCTTCCCTTCCACCTCGCTGCCGTGACCCCCCGGTGCTCCACCCGGCCCGTGGCGCCCGCCGGCGCCGGGCGAGGTCGTTGGGGAGTCGCCCCTGAGACGTGCTCAACGGCTTGGAGAGACAGGCCGGGGGGCGACGGAGCCCTTCGGTGAAGGAGAGACCACAGCCAGGTGGTGAATGGTGACTGCGATCATGCTGGGGTATGAGCGGATGCGTTTTTTTTCTTTTTTCCGGTCTCAGTGTCTCAACTGCCGATGGTTTCTTGCCATTGCGAGAAAGTCATCGCAAGGCAGACAGTGACTGTGAGGGTCTTCTCTTTGAGAAGCAGCTAGCTAACTGGAAGAGACTTGAGATGCGCAGATGCTTGAGAATATCTCGAGAATCGACTGATTGGTGGTCAAGACATCAAATGGCCATGCACGATAAAGCTTTGTAGTGCCTTCCAGGACGGCTAGTGCCTTGAGCCCTCATCTTCACTGGATCCTTGTAGCCCTCCGCTCTCCTTCACCCCTACACCCGCGCCACATGCAACATCATGCAACCCGGTCCCCAAAGCCGCGCTTTGGAGGTTTGGATTTCGATGAAGCGCCTTTGGCCCTGTTCTGGGCCACTCGCCCTTCCTCAACGCGCCGACTCTCGCGCCCGTCGAACCCGGTCCCGCAGGTGTGCAGGGTCCGCAGGGTCTCGCCGTTCAATGGATGTCGCGAGCGGTGTGTTTTTTTTGCGCAGCGAATGGGCCGCTTTGAAAAGGCCAGCGAATGGGGCGTTTGACTGGAAAGTGAAGCTCCTGTTGGTGAGAAAGCACGTCATTCCGTTTTTTCGTACTCTTCAGACTCAGGGACGCTCTAAAAGAGGATTGATGATGCAGGACAGTGCAGGGACGTGGTGAACACATTTGTGTTTTTGACAGAACCCCCCAGTCTTCTCATTCTCTCGATTTCTCATTTCTTTTTACTTTCTTTCCCTCTCTCTTTCTTTCTTTCTGTCTTTATTTTTTCCTCCCCCCCGCTCTCTCTCTCTCTCTCTCCCTCTCTCCCTCCCTCCCTCCCTCCCTCCTTGTTCCCTCGTTGGCGGCATGTTGACCAAGGCTGTGAATGGTCTAATCCTATGCAGCTTGGCCTGCTTCATTTTCCTTGGTGTGGGCTTCTTTGCCCAGGCCTGTTCAGGGCCATTCGGGCCCGCCTCCGCCGGGCAAGCATGCACGGTGAAACAGCCTTCGAGTCACTCGAAAGAAAGCCAAAGAACCGGAAAGAAATGGTTGTGTTCCATGTTGTTCCCATATGGCAATTGATACTTCATAGATCCTATGATAGGATCCAGAAGTGGTTGACGGTTTTTGTTTTCAGACGAACAGTGACGAAGAACACCATGACCATCCATGACCTGCATACCAGTCCGACGAGCATGATGGACGCATGTCCTGGCAGCATCATGGTCGCTGATACGGCGGACTTTTCGTTCTGGAACAGGACTGTGGTTTCACTGATACAGCTTCCACTTCCATGTGTCTTGAAAGAGATATACTGTAATATACTGTATGTGGTTTCTTATGTCTCCTCTTGAAGGAACATGACGTTGAGCTGACAGCCTGACAGCTGCTTGATTGGAATCCCATTCGATGCAGGTCTTCTCCATCGAGGAAGCAACGGGCAATGAGGACAGCCGTGCCCGGAGTACAGGAAAGTAGGGACTGTTGCACCTTCAGAGCTTGTGATGCTTGGGAAGTTCTTGGCCCCTGACCCACAGGCCATTCCATGCCATGCCCATCTAAGAGATCCCAATTGAAGTTGGAGGAAGAACATCAAAACACACCTCTCTTTGCTTCAACTTGCTTTCCGATCATTTCTGGTTGCTTCTCTGCGCCTGGAGAGAACCCCCCACCTCCCCAGTCCTCTCGAATTCGCTGTGCCGTTCGAGGAGATGATGGCGTCGGAGACGACTCTCCTGAAGGTCCTGAGGCGGGCCACGCCCGGTCGGAGGACCGGGTTCCTGGCGGACGTGTTCCTGGCGGCCGGACTGGATCCTCCATCACCGGTTTGAGACGTTGGTCCGCAGCCGACAGAGCTCTCACCAGCCCACGGATGGATTTCATCCAACCATGTTGGTCTGTTCACACGGCCAACGCTTTCACGGTGCGACCACCACGCCACCCCCGCGTCCGCGAGCGAAGCCGTCCGATCCAGTCGGAGCGAGTCGGTTTTGGTCACGTCGACTGCGGGGGGGGGGTCGGGTCAGCTGATGCGTCTCGGTCAGCTGACCTGGCCCGAACTGGTTGGACGACGGGGTACGAGTTCGACTCGACCCATGGGACCTTCGGCTTGGGTCGGGTCCGCCGGTTGGGGCGGTCACGTAGACTGGCCGAAGCTGGGTGGCTGGTCAGGTGTTCAGTGTTCTTTTTCGCCCATCTTCAGAGTCGCGTGATTTGGTCGAGTTCCTCCAATGCACGCCTTCCAAGTCGAAAAGGTGGTGATTTTTCCCCACCTGTCAGGTGAGGGTTGTTAGACTTTATGTTAGCTGCCTCGCTGTTCTCCTCTCTCCTCCTCGCCTGTCCTCACCTCTCCTCGTCGTCCTCCTCAACCGCGAGTGTCGGATGGCCGGACAAGCAACCGCAAGTATAGGACTGCAGTGTTCCCCGCCGGACCTCAACCGCGAGTCAGAACATATGCCAGAAAGAATGCCAAAAGATATGCCAGAAAGAGTGGCAGAAAAAACGTCAGAAGATATCCCAGAAAGAATGTCAGCAGATATGCCAGATAGAATGCCAGATTGCAGAAAGAATGTCAGAAGATATGCCAGACAGAATGTCAGAAGATATGCCATAAAGAAAGTCAGAAAGAATGTCTGAAGATATGCCAGAAAGAATGTCAGAAGATATGCCAGAAAGAATGTCAAAACGCATGTCAAGAGAGATGCCAGATAGAATGTCAGAAGATGAATGCCATAATACTGATTCAATACATGCCGAAAAGTTTTTCCGATTGACATGTCATGGTGGTGACCACTCGAATTGAAATAATTGATGTTCAATTTCTGAGAGGGGAGACTTCCCCTTCGGAGGTGATTGCCTAGTATACTGATATGATGAAGCGAGATGTTGCTATCCGAATGACTCGTTCGTTCACTGCTCCATCATGCTGATTCCCATCTATATTATATATAGTGCCAATTGCCAATCCCAGAAAGACACATGACAGGACTTTGAAAAACACATCATGTTTCGCTGTCAAACAAGAAGAACACACTCGTTCCACTTTCCCATGTTCCACTTTCCTGGCTAGTTGGGTTAGTTTTAAAGTTCGTTGGGGGTTAGGCCCAACATCCGCGCGCGGGACGTCGAAAAACAGCAACAGGTTGGCCTTTCGCATCATCTTGGTGGCCTTGGCAACTTGGAACACAGTGCGGGGGAAAGCACCAGGTCTAGACCTTGATCTACTGGTCGGTCCCCGCGGCGGTTGAGTGCGGTCTAGTGAGTGAGGTGGATTTCATCAGGGCATTGGATGAGATTGAGATCCAGGGCAAGAAAGGCTTTCTATTTATCTCTCCAGAGCCAACTAAAAAAACTGAGGCTTCATCGGGCCAGATGTACCTTCAAAGCATTTTCTCGTGGAATTTCTGTGGATTTCTGGCGCAGATGTTGCTTGGGCGAAGTAGGATTTTTCTCCAAGGTCAGCCAGTGAAAGTCAGCCAGATTTCTTCCGGCCGAAAGAGGGAATGACAAAGAACCCTTCTGCAAGATTGAGCCTGGTGGGAAAAAACGAACCTAATAGCGATGGAGCGATGGCCTCCAGCCTCCTAGCGATGGGAATGACCAAGAACCAGGGATGGGATGTACCCATACGGGTGATCCTTCTTGGTAGCTGGCAGCCAAGGTGTCCTTTACCTCTGGTAACTGAGCTGCACAAGGAAGAGAGGGGGAACGTGCTCAACTTGGACACAGCACTTGGCCTTTGGAAGTGATTCTATCATCCCCTGTATCAGCAACAGGCAACAGGCTTCCAGGACGTTGGCTGTTAATATTCCAGCTGCGTGGTCTTCCCCACGGTCTCCACTCGCTTCGAAAGCATTCGAAAACTCAAAATCTTCTCATCTCTTGTTCAGTTGTTGGGGTGCTGCGAACCTTGACAAACGTCATGTAGACAGTTAATTCATGTAAAAACCTTTCAGATGAACGATATGAAGGGCTTTTACAATCTAAATGTTCCTCTGGAGAAACTATTCATTCTTCCAGAGTGCTACATGAAGCGAAAGCCACGCGGATTCTCCGCATGGAGCGAGGTATGGGGCTTCGAGTGATCCACCCGATCCAGTCTGCTATGCTTTGTGGAATATGACGAGTCGACGAGTGTCACATGAGCCATCTTGCCATCTGCCATGAAGATCCATTTCTTATATATATATATGTATAATTGAGAATCAGCAATTTACGTAAGATATATTTATCTTTTGTTTTCAGGGAAAATGATGAGAATGTGAAGAGTAGCTCGAGTCTGAACCATCATGCATCAGGAGAGGTTTGCTTGTCGGGTGTGAGAGTGGCTCAATCCCTTCGTGCGTATTTAGATACGCTGGAGCTGAACATATCGTGCCTGTGCCTAACTGGAGTGCTCTTCACTCCCTTAGGTGAGACAAAGTCCCTGGGGGCTACGCAGTTTCCAAGCTCTGAAGCAATCGGTTAATGGCCCTGCGCATGTAGCTGCAGCTGCCCGCATGTTTCCTTCATAGTACTTAGTCCTTGGTGATGTTTCATGGCCAGACAGGACGAGTTTGAAGTTTGAGACCTTCGATGCCAAATGGCAAATGTCATGATATGAGGCAAATGACTTACGACTCCCAATGATTCCTAATACGCCTATGTGTACAGAGGAATGTTGCTTCTTTCTTGCTGCATTCCCAAGCTCGCACAGCATGCTCATTGGTTTGTAGACGAGAGTTTCTCGCTGCACTGCATGCGCAAGAATATCTCGCATCGCACAAGAGAAGATGCTTTGTCTTGGGCTGCTGGCATGAATTGACATCGAATGAGTTCACGTTTTCTGCCACCCTTGTTTTTGCAAATTCTTCGAAGGCAGAGCCATTTGTTGCTAAGTGAGCCGGCAGCCTTTGAGTCAACGATTTCTCGACCATCTGGGAGACCACGAGTCTGTGAGATCATTGTGGTACCATAGCTAGTCTCCCTTAAGCGTAGAATGCAACTGAAACCCGGTCCAAATCGCCAAAGCAAAGTGAACATTGGAGGGTCACCATATTTCAAGTGGAGGGTCACCATATTTCTGTCAAGATTCATACACGGAAGGCACCTTGCACAGCTTCAGCTTCGAGAGAGGATAGTAGCCATCTGAAAGAGTTTCGTTCGCTTTTCAATTGGGATTTTGCACACAGAACGATGTCCATTGCACATAGCTTAGTTTGCTTGAGCTTTGGCTTTCTGAGACCAGTGGGTGTTCAGACAAGACTTGCTTCTTAAGCCATGCTTTGATAGCAAGGCCAGCTGGCTGAGCCAAATGCTGAGATTGTTGAACTTGTCAGCCATCTCCGGAGATGGTTGCAATGAAGGATTGGATATGCACTTGGCTCAGCACTTGCGTAGAAGTTAACGCGTGTGATCCGGGTTGATGCACCGCTGTCTGGGCCAGGTTTTGTGCAGGTCAGACCTGTCCAGAATTCCAAGAAACCGCCCCAAGACTCAGCCGCCCAGCTAATGACCAGCCAGACCTGTAGGGTTCAAAATCAAACAGCTGATTTGTCGTCTTGTTTGGGGATTTTTTTGGTGTTCATCCAAGGATCCCTCCATGACCTCTCTGACTTTCCCATGAACTCGGACTGGACGGGCTGGACGAGAGAAAAGACCACATCGGCCGCCTGGATCGAGTGAATGTGCGACGAGTGGGCGACGAGAGGGAGAACCGATCCAGATCGAAGCGCCCGGAAACGGTCTTCGGAGACGGAGAACACCACTAAACATCCATCACTACCAGGAGCACCGAAAAGAGAGATGTCCCACCCAGGTCCCGACATCACTCTCAGCATTGGGGTGCCCAACCTACTATGGCCTCCGGACGACCATTTGCTGTCAAGCCGGTGTCACTCGACTGTTCTGGATTGTTTGAAGCCGGTGTCGAGGACAACTTTCGGAGAGTCAGGGCGAACTCCGGGCGAACTCGTGGCGAACTCGTTTTTCGCATTCGTTCCAGTGGTTTGGCGTACGTTGCTTGGGATCCCGAGGTCGCTCTCTGTGTTTTTTGGAGTAGATCTACAGAAGGTGCGCGCGCGCCGGAGTTAATGAGCACCACGGGCCCTCTATCACATTGCGCCGCTTCTTGCCGCTGCATGGAAAGCGGAAGATCGTCAGAAGCCGGAGGAACATTCTGGGAACATTCTGGGAACTCCGGACTCATGAACCGACTCATGGCATCTCTACCCTCTGCGCGGGCATGGCACGGCGGGCTCGTGGTGCTGCATGGTGGCCCATGCTGGGCCGTCGCTCCGTGAAGAACGGAGCCTTCGACGATTGGCTGCAGCCATTAGAGACACGCAGCGTTCATCTGACCAAGGCAGGAGCCTCTGATCCAACGGATTTTTGGTGATTTTCGCAGCCGACGTCTGCCGGAATGCTCGAAGACCGAGGGGCAATTGGGGAACTGTTCCGCCGCGCGCCTGCGATGGCAGAAAGTGACTATTAGCAGTTATATACTAATTTATAGTAATGGTTGTTGTCGTTCTTTCTGATCTGGCTTTAGTACTGCACAGGAGCCTTAATGACTTGCTACTCAACCAAGCTACCAGGAAACCTCTTGATAAACAGCCACAAAGACGGCATCGAGCCCTTGTGGCCGGCCTTGACCGTAGACTGAGGAAATCCACCAACATACCTACCAGGACCCCATAAGGACCCTTTTGATTGATGCAGAAGAATGCAGGGAACGTGGCACGGCAGTTGTGGGGTTCTCCACCGTTTTGCCCCGTCACTTGGTCGTTTGGATCGATGACATCGGGATGAGGCAACGCACGGGCTTCCCTGTCACAGGGGCCTATGAATCACGTTTTTCTTTTTTGTGAGTCAGGTTTAAGAAAAAGAAGTAGGTTGGAGATGTTGGAGGCCATCGCTAGTAGGGTGGAGAAGGAGCTCCCAGAGGTTTTTGGCATCTCATTTGCACCCCACTGAACAGAACCTGTGCGTCGAACCTCGAACCGGGTGCCAGATCGGCACTGAGCTTGATCCGCCAGTGCGGGAGGGATGGCAGTGCTCATGACATGCGTGTCAGGATGGCAGTCAGGAACTGCAAAAAGAACATCCGTTTTTGTCCTCCCACCTGGACCACCCCCTACATCAAAAGAACAAACCTGGCACTTATTGTTGTTCTTCAGCACCACCATGCACCACTCAGGAACTGGGTGGCTCAGGACCCCCTGAAGAAAATATATGTCGTGTGTCCAATAACCAACTGGGTGGTGCCGATTCAGGTTTTATTGGAGGGCTTTGGGATATATGTTGGGTGTTGGGTATTTGTAGGTAAGGTGGAGCATTTTGGCCACTTGGCCGAGCCTTTTTTTTTCGTTTTAAAGGTGTGCTATGACAGCTATGGTTTGTCACAAACATGGTGGTTTTATGGTTCAAGCAAGTCACGCATCCCAAACATTGAAGAGAGGTATCGCCTCTTTTCGGGGCGATGTTGACCAATCGTTGGCTGGTAGGAGTGTTCAAATTTGATGGACCAAAACGAAGAACAGCCTGTCAAGCTCCAGCCCATCCCTACCTTTGATCTTGCGAGATGTCGAAAGCGAAACGCCTGGGCCGGTGCTTGCGTGGTTCCAGGTCGGCAAGGGCACTTGCTTTGAGACCTGTGAATTTGATTGCTTTTCTTCACTTTTGATACATGATGCATTTAAACCAACATATAGTTATAGTTACATAGTTATAGTTCAGTTATAGTTACATTTTTTTGCTGTTCATTGCAAGCATCCAAAGCGCGTTTCTACAATCGATCGCATAGTTCGCTTCACGCTTGATGGGTACTGTTCGCTCGCTTGCGAAAAGGGGTTGGACCGAGGGACTCGTCTTACAGATCCGATTTTTGGGCAAAATGAGCATAAACTGAGGTCTTTCCCTGATGAGCACATGAGATGATCCCTTGAATGTCAAGGCTTTCAAGGGATCTCCATCAAGCAACCCTTGTGGGTCCTGGGTAAACCAGGATGTTGAGCGCCAGCCACCGTTGTTCATACAAGGAAGAACGAATTTCACCGCCTCATCTGATCGCTGCTGGTGCCCAAAACCGCAGAAGGGGAACTTCTTTCGTTTCCTCAAGATACATTTTTGCCGGGATTCGGTGAGTTAGCCGTCGGGATCTGAGTTGGCAGAGTTGGGAGAAAGGGAGAGGCAAGGACCTTGCTCTGGCCAGGTCATCGTGTGATCTCTCCTTCCCTCCCTCCCTCGCTCTCGCTCTCGCTCTCTCGCTCTCTCGCTCTCTCGCTCTCTCTCTCTCTCTCTCCTTGTGGAGTTGGGAAGCGGTAGACAGATTGGGCCTGTTTATGAGACTTTCTGCTCATCTGAAAGGTCCACATGGGTTTCTGTCAGCCAGTCTTTCTTCTGGGCGGCAGGTCTAGGTGAATTGTTTGAAGATGCAGAAGGCTCAATCAAGTTCCAGAAAAAGTGTCAAACGATGTCCACATCGCTCATCAGTTCCACCCGCGCTGTGCGCTTCACCCCAAAGGCTCCGCTCCTGCCGTCGAGGCGATGGCGACCCGCGTTCGGAGCCCGGATCGCACCTGACAAGCGACGTGCTGGGTGAGGTTGGACAGCTTTTTGGGGGCGATTTACATAGACACCCCCGACAGGAGGGTCCTGGTACGTTCGTAGCTTCTTGTGACGTTCGTAGCGATGGCCTCCAAGCTACGACCGCGATGGCCTCCACCCAGACTGGCGTCCTTATACTGAGACCTGAAAAAAGGCTTGGTCAAAGACAAGCTTCGATTTCGGATCACTGCATGGGACCCGAAAAAACGAAGAAGCAGCTGGGTGGGCACGATGCTTTCTAAGCGGCATCATGAACTTCTACAAGTAGCATTTTCGAGCGCTATTTGATCAACCGGATGTGAGCTTTTTACATCATCCAATGATGTCCGATCATCCATCAAGACTATATATTTCTCCTTGTTCTCCGCATGGTGTGGTGCACATCCATGCGAACTCTGAGGCATCCATGATGCAGACCATACCCACGGATATCAAAGTGGGCGTGAGGGTTCAGGCCATTCCTCTCGCTGCGGCCGTTCGGCGCACGAAGGATCTTCGAGGATGTTCGAGGATGTTCGGCGATCGTCGGCGCACCTTTCCAATCGAACGGATCTGTCAGGTTCCTTTCTTCGGTCCCCTCTCAGTACAGGTCCCAGCTACAGCTACGTAGTACTGACGCTCGGACCTCGGAGGTATGGATTCGGAGGTTTGACAACACCTACTGAGTCCATTTTCTGCTTTAACACCATGTGTACATGGGACACCCCAGGGCTCCTGAAGCAGGCTATGATGAGGCGGTTTTTGGTGTTTGGGAGTCAGCAAAATCTCGATGTCCGGGGAATTCATCACCAATGTTTGGAGGGTTCACCCGCTTCCTTCGTGGGCTGGTCATTGTCCCCAACAGTGAGGACGTCCAACTGCAGGCCAGCTGCCACACTCACCCATCCCCATCCTCACCCACCCCCATTCTTCTCCACCCATCCTCACCACTTCACGGTCCGCCCACCATTGGCAGGTGCTTGGGAAGCTGATGGGCACAGTGAAGTTCGCGGGGCCAGTGGCCCAAAGGGGGGGGGCTGGAGATGCAGCGAAAAGGGTGAAATCCGGGACCGACCGGTCGTGTTGGAACGTGTTGGAGGGGGCCTCACCTGACACACATGGACCAGCACTGGCCTGGATCTTCTGGGCAAAATGAGCCGATCGAGTAACAGTTGCCGAGGTGTAGCCAGGCAAAGCAACAAAAAGCCTTTGATGTGCCAGGCAGCATTTTCTCCACAATGACCTGTTTCCACACATGAGAACCGGACCGGTTCGCCATGACCGTACTGTTCCTGGTGTGCTTCGGCCATGACACGACAGACGTTGGTGGTTTCGGTCCGATCGGCGGTCGCCTTGCGCCGAGGGTGACGAAGTTTGCTGCCGGGCCATGGGTTGGTGTGGAGCTGGAGCGGGGGGTCGGAGCATGTCTTGGCGTAGCGTTTCGTAGCGTGGCGTTTCGTCCCATCCATGTGGATGTTGATGGCACCATCAGTGGATGTTGATGGCGTCCAACTCCATAGAAACTGCTGAGAGGAATGTTGGACCTTCTGGTCAAGGTGGTAGATCCGAGGGCGACATGAGGGTGAGGGAATGGACTCTTTGAAGATGGATACGGCGTCCTTCCTCCGCTCACCTGACTTTTTGCTCTCTATCGGCAGCAAATATTGGGGAGATGATGGATGGTCTGAGAACATTCATGACAATTCCATGTCCAACTTTGGGTAACTGCAACAAATGCCAAGCTGCCGGGCACTTTGATTGAGAACAATCTACGAGCACGTAGCCAGGACGCACCGGAAGGCAAGAACGATGGCACTGTCCAGGGTGAAAGGCCGGGACTCTGGCTGAGAAAAGCTGGCAGGGAAGCATTTCCCTTGTTTCTCGTAGGGATTTGAAATGCTGGTGAATGCTGCTAAGGAAACAACTGCATCTTATTTGTGTAACCTTCATCTCATTAACATTTAAGCCCCAATTGTGCACCGTCACATCGTCTGGAGATCTCAAAAACAGCCCACAGTCTGGTGCTTCTTGTGCTCAGCTCGTCGAGTTGAGCTCGTTCTAGCCATCTTCAGGTCCTTCAGGTGGGTTTTTGATCATGCATTTCTGCGTTGGGTGAGACACTTGCGGCTTTTTTTCCAGAAAGTCTCTTCGTGCTAAATGTCATGAGAGTCCTCGGTCGAGAGCAGATCGAGGTCGAAGAGGTCGAACACGTCGCATGTGTTCGTGTTCGGCGTCGATTCTCGGTGCCAGGTACTTCGATTGCAAACCAGGAGGGGCGATCAAAAGTCTGGGCGAAGAGAAGTTTGGCGAAGAAGTCTAGATGTTCAACAGATCGGAGCTAGCTTCCACTACGCGGCCCCCCCAAAAAACGCCCATCCAGCTTGTGACAGGTGAAAAAGAAAGAGGAAAACCTTCGTTTCTGAGAGAAGACCTGAAGAAAGATGCCTCTTGTTTCTGAAGATGAGGTCCGTTTCGATCCATGGGGATTCGCCATCGATGTGCAGAATCCCTTGGTCGCCGCACAGGACATGGCATCTTCGCGAGGCCCAACTCGGTGAGGCGGCGACGGGTTGCGGGGAGCTCCAACCGAAAGGGTTGACCATGGAACATGAAGCAAACAGCGGTTTTTGGACCCACGGATGGGTTCGCAGCATGTAAACAGAGCTAGGGCGGGCGGGGCATATTTCCTGGGACCCCCTGTGCCGTGATGAAGATTGGGAGCCATGGTCTGGCTGTAGGCGAGTGATTCGATGTTGCGAATCTGAACATCCCTTGACATGCAGGTAGATGATGTTCCAGCTTCTTGCGTCCCATTGCAGGGTGGTTTTCAAAAGCAGCCCGCGCAGTTTTTTCACGAAGCGTGCAGCAAGAAAGCGGGACCCTGGCTGTTCCGCGGAGTTGTTCACGGTTGTTCCGCGGAGTTGCCCTTGTGCACAGTTTCTGATACACCCTGAGTACACCCACTGGTTGGTAGAGGAAAACCATCTTCCAGGTTACCATCTTCCAGGGGTCTATGTGAGTTGACCAGCTGTGTAGTTGTACCCAAGTTGGAGAAGTATATTGGCCCTGCTCACACCAGTTCGGAGGCCTGAACCGGCTTTGAACGCTTTCGCGCAGAGCTCAGAATGAAGCGGAGGAGTTGTTAAGGATTTTTACGCATGGACTTCCATGACCCCCGAAGGGGTGGTTTATGAACACCCCTTACTGTATAACCTTCAAAAGAGGCTATTGAAAGACACCCCAAAAGGCCTGGTTGAGGCTCATCTCTGATTGGGGTTCAATGATCAATTGTATTATGGAAGCAGGTTCTGGAGATTTGAGGTGATTCTTCAATTCATAGCAATCCTTCGTTGAAAGATTTTGTAGATTGATTTGATTTGATTCAGATCGATCGGTAGGATGTTGTTGTGTGGTGTTATGTGTCCCTTCTGTGCAACTTCAAGTCAGCTGTACCTACCAGGGTTACACTCCCTGAAATATGCATGGTTACGTGGATGGCACCACCTGTTTGGTCGGATTGGGTCATCCCACGGGGCACACTTGATATCTCTCCAGCCGTCCAAGGCCATGCCTGGCGAAATGCCACAGACGCCTGAAAGTGCCCAGGAGGCCCGTGGGTCGTGCACCCGTCGGTGTTGTCAGGAGTCAGCACGTCCGGATGGGCGGGAACTTGGGCTGTTGACTTGATGCAGGAAGGGAGCCACCGAATAAGTGGGCCTCCGGGTCTCGAAAGTTTGCCCTCGAATTGGCTTGGTCCGGAATACCGAGACGGAGTGTTTATCGCTCAAAGCACCATTTCGTCTCTATTTTTGAAGGGTTTTGTGGGGTGGTCCAAGATCAATCAAGCGCATGGTGTCTTGGCACCACATGGTGTCTTGGTTCTACCGCAAAAACGGTGGTTCCTCCCGGACAGGCGTGCCCGACCAGCAGTCCGAATCCCCAAGCTTTGGGAAAGGGATCTCAGTCCTACAAACTGAAGAACCCGGAAGAGCAGCGCTGCTAGCTCTCTGGACCGGTGCTTCGACCCTTCATGAGGCTTCAAAACGCTCAGCCTGGCTCCTTCTCGTGGTGGGCTTTGGGGTGGACTCTCTTGAGGGTGAAGGGGTCGCCTCACGCCGAAACTGACCCATCGATGACCTATGCGTAGCTTGGTATTTTGAATAGGAGGCACCTCCTAACCAATTGGCGTTAACTCCTTCAAGTCATCCCCAGACCGCGCCGGCACCATGCTGCGCTCTTCTCTTCGGACCCATCGCGTCTCCGGTTTCGAACGCGTTTCGAGCTCCGGGCGAGGGGCCGAAGGAGGGCACTGTGGCGCTTCGGACCTTCGTTGCACGCCAGGCACCAGGCAGTCCCGACTCCCCGGCTCAGTGCGGGCCTCGGAAGGAGTTGAGCGCCTGGTCAAGTGAAGACCTCGGAAGTCCAGGCTTCGGCCTCCCTGGTCGGAAGGATCAATGAGGATCCAGGGTCGGGTCCCTGCGTTTGTTTTTGGGGTGGCCGAGGAGTGGAGCTCGGACAGATTGGATGGCGCAGATTGTGCCTCCCCCTGCGATCCGAACGACGTTCGAACGTGCCAACAGGTCGGCTCCTTCAATCAACTGGACGCGCCGGCAGAGTGCAGAGCATGACCTCAGGCGGACAATGCAGTACACTGACTCCATCTGACTCCGCAGAGGACCACATGGACCACCCCCCCTCGATGCGATCGTCCGCGGGAAATGCTTGGGATGCAGTTGTTTTGGATAGGTTTGGGATGGATAAAGGGCATTCAGAACCTTCGGCTGATGCGTTTCGCGATGTGAACCGCGGCCTAAGCCTAAGCGCTTGTGAACACGTTTGGGGCCTCTTCTTTTCCGTTTGCAACGGTGGTCGCAACGGTGCTCGCGTTTGAAAGCACCCTTGGTCCCTCCTCAGTAGAACGTTCACCTTCCTTCAATGAAAGTTTCTGCAAGCTTTCTCACCCTGTCAACTGTATTCTCTGACAGAAATGAATGATCTCCGTCTGTGTTGAGTGAACCACTCGGGAACCACTCGAGTCCTTAGGTCCGGTTTTTCAAGCATTCTCCTCAGCATCTTGAGGATTTGCATTCATTGTGCATTCATGGTGCATTCATTGTCACCACTCGGCCAAAGGCTACGTGCTACTGAACGGCCCCCGCCACCACCCGCCCTCGCGTGCGTCCCCCGGGTTGGGGCGAGTTCCCTGGGGGGGAGAGCGTCGGAACGCCAAGCATCGCGGTCGTCGTGTCGCAGTCGTTTGGGTTTTTCCGGTCCGAGAGAGAGAAAGGGACGCACCGGCAGGCAGGATATTTGTGTGGACGAGCGTGTGGACTTGATGAGCATCCTGGGTGACTTGGCGTTGGGTTTTTCGTTCTTTCTTTTGGGGTCGGTCACTGATTCGGATGTTCCCATCTCACCACCAACTCTGGCGGTTTGTTTCCGATGCCTTCTGAGCTGTAGCTCAAAGTCTATATCAGAACGTTCTGGGCAAAAATAACCATGGAGATCTACACTTGGGCTCTCGTTGGGGAACAGCTTTTGTCCAGAATCAAGCCACCTCATGGACCTCGATTGGAATCCGCAAGCAAGGCAGGTGGGGATTCAATCCCAGACACTGAGCCAGACACTGGCACTGGAAGGTTCACCTGCATTCACCTATAGACCCACCTTGGACCCTCTTTTAACACCGAAGATCGATCCGTCAAACGCACCACCCGACTCGGTGCATCGCAGCCACCTGGACCTGCCGGACGATGACCATCGACCGCTCGACGAACGCATCGCGCGGACCGAGGCGATTGCGCGGACGACGTGCAGGCGATGACCGAGGCCGTCCAACGCACTGTTATTGCGCGGTGCAGAATCGGCCAAATCCCGGCCGCAACGGTCTTTCTGTGGGTGTCCGGCGGATTCGATTCGAAGGTGCAAGAGGCCACGCGTTCGCTCCGTCGCGGGGGGAGGGACGTACGGAGCGACCGGAGCGGGAGCACTGCTGCAGACTTGCCTGGGAGGCTGTGGATAAACTGGCTGCATCCATGCAGGTCTCCACCCCAACGCGCAGGGCGGTGAATGAGAGCTGTGACAGCTGTGATGTACGCTAGATCCAGTCATGTTAGTTGTCGAAGTTTAAGAGTTCATAGGGTCACAAAAAAAGTCTAGAGTGAAGAACGTTTGTCCTATATTGTCCTATAGGGCAGGTGTCTTTTGATGGAAGAGGATGGCAGAGGTTTTTTGAGTGGCTTTCAGCACCTAGGCTGCTCCCGTTGCGTCGGAGCTCTCAGTTTCCGCGGTCGTGAACCAGTTTGTTTTCGATTTTGGGTGGTTCAGTTGTGGTGGCCTTGCTCGGGGCCGACCAAACACCTATATGTACAATGTTCTGGACCCCACTGATTTGGCATGTCAAACGGTGTCCCCCCCAGGTCCAAAACGTGTCTTTCCAACGGGTCTCTTGCAGACTCTTGCCACTGGCACTCCGCCGCCTGGCGCGACGCGACGCCGACTCGTGCCGCTCAGGACGGCGTCAGAGGCCGGGCGACGCTCGCGACGTGTCCGAATGAGTGAAATCTGTTGCTGAGGAGATTTATAGAGTATCATTAGAGTATTCGGACGTGTATTCAGAAATTCTTCCAATGGCATCCAATTGGCCATATGTCCCACAGGGTCTTGTGTCCAAATAATATCGAATAATTATTACTAAAGTTACTAAAGGCCAATGATTGGACTTGTGCTGAAAGAACAGTGGTTGTTTAAACTAGTTTGAGAAATCCTTGTCATTTTGATATCCGAATCTGATGAAACTTGTGACCGGCTTGTCTTGGACGCTGTGAACAGTGTTTTCTCTTGTGTCTGTTCGCCAGAAGCTGTCACCAGAAGAGGAGGCGAGATGTGAGTTTCGGGAAGACTCCCAGTCAATGGCAGCGAATCAAAGTCCTCTCAGCCGATCCCTTCCACAACATGGGGCGCAAAGCAGATTTGCTCACGGAGCGCGAGTCGATGTGCGCCGTCAATGTGCGTCGATGTGCGGAGACGTGGGGCGACACGAGGCTTGGCTCAGCGACTTCACCGAGCAGTTCGAGAGGCGAAAGCGAAAGCGAAAGCCGCGGAAACAGCCTCGCGCGCCTTAAAATGGCCGTGGGGTCCGAACAAATGCGGCATAGCGAGCGATCTTTAGACTCTAGATATGAAAGAAAAGGTGGAGTTTCGGTGTTTGGGCTCCACTCCAAAACGCCTTAATTCCAATCCAATCCAATTCCTTCAATGAAGCCGAATTGGGGTTCTATCTTCGAAAAAAAGAGCTGGCCACACTGACTGGCGGCGCCCCTGAACTCTGTGGCCGGGTCTTCTGGACACACTGACTGGCCGCGCCCCTGAACTCTGTGGCCGGGCCGAACAATTAGCGATGTCGATGCCGAACAAAAGTCATTGATAAAGCAGTTTGCTCGATGCCGGGGGGAAGGTAGGGCGTACCAACAAACCGTTTTTTGACGAATCGGTTTGGTCCCAAACGAATCGTTTTGAGACTGTTTGGGGTCTATGCTGGTCTCATGTTTTCCTTTTAGCAACAAGGGCTTTTTCACTGCACGACCTGAAACCACTGCTTAGGACTTCCGCTTCGGTTGTTCTCCTCGGACTCCGGGGCGGGGCGGAGCCGGATCGGCCCTGGAACTCGGACACCGGAGGAAGTTCGAGGAGAAGTTGGTCGCCTTGCTCGATGCAAAGGTGTCCGCACTCGTCAAGGACTCTTCGCCTGTGATCGGGCCGGCCGGACCGGCACCGACCGCCTGGACCGGTGAGAGCGCTTCATGGACTGTGTGAGAAGACCGGGGTGCTGTGTGCGTCGGGCTGATTTAGTATATATCACTCAAGGCGTTGCAAAGATGAAACAGCTAGAGTGGTTTTTAAATGCTTTCTAGAACATGTCTTTGAGCGTCAGAATATCTCTGCAGCGACTATCTAAGGACATTCCTTCGACCTAGGACCAGGCGCGACCGCTTTGTCGACTCAGAAACACCTGCTGCTCCATGTGCACTCACCATTTCCGTCCAGAAGGGATGACACTTTTCGGGCAGTTTACCTCTGTTCAAGAGTTGCTTTCATATCCCCCTTGCACAGGTCCTTATGAAACGGGGATCCTTGTAACCTATAAAATGACTTTTTCAGGACTCAATTCATAAAAAGCACAATGTTGCCGGATATTGCAATTTCAAAAAAGAAGCCTATTGAACATAGCCCGTCATTTCATAAAAAGGTCGGTTTGGCTCCTGTGAACATTTTATAAACAGTGATTTTTTTTAAACATAGAGACAGCTGGATGTTGGTTGCTCATTCTATAAACAAGTAATGGTGTGAGAGAATAAAACCATGTTGCAGATGGATACGCATTTTATAAAACACACAGGGTGAATTATTAAGATGGGTTTGCCATCTATTTCCTGGGAGGGTGTGGACAAATACGATGGGCCTTGGGAGGGGGGAAAAGGTTTATAAAATGGGTTTACCAGCTTTTCCCTGGGAGGGTGTGGACAAATACGATGGGCCTTGGGCTTGGGAGGAGAAAAGGGTTTATAAAATGGGTTTACCATCTTTTCCCTGGGAGGGTGTGCACAAATA